CTACTTGGGCCTTCTATTCTTTGAATTTTTTTAGGGCTTCTGACTTTGCATGAATAAGGTACACATGGCCATATCACAAATAGTCATCTATAAAAAAGATAAAATACCTTTTTCCACTTTTGGTGGTCACATTCATAGGTCCACAAATGTCACTATGAATGATTTCCAATACGCTAGTAGCTCTTTTTGCCTTGGTGGTATTTTCCCTTATTAGTTTTTCTTACACATAAGACTCGCACACTTTCGATAAATCTCCCTTATAATTATGAAGAATCCTGTCAGTTTTTAATCTTTCCATTCGTTTGAAATTAATGCGTCTTAACCTCATATGCAATAGGGTAGCATCTAATTTATTAGGAGACGAGACATAAGCAACGTTATCTTTTATATCAATAGTAAATAGCCCGTCTACAAGTCGTTCAGTCATGGTCACATCTTTTCCCTTTTTAACCATCACTTTCTCCCCAATGAAAGTGGTTATGAATCCAGCCATATACATCTTATGAAGCGAAACCAAACACTTCATCGTATCAGGAGCATAAAGTACTTGTTTTAGGATCAAGGTGCTCCCACTATTTAAATACATCGGTCTTCTGATTTCCTCCCATATAAATATGTTGTTGTCCTAGCCCCATGGGAGTGAAAGAACCACAACCTTCCTTAGTGTATGTGACATGGGCCGTAGCCCCCAAGTGAAGACACCAATAAGTTTCGTTGGGGTTAGCTAGCATGGACTCGAAAACCACACATGCCAATTCCTTGTTAGTTTCACCAGATTTGTTGAACCGACAACTATTGGCTATGTGACCCACCTTCTTGCAAATAAAACAAGTTCGACGTTTTCTCCTTTCTCCCTTATTTCTAAAATCTATTCTTTTGAAATATTTTTTTTTCTCAAAAGTATTTATTCCCTTTTCTTTCTTAAATTTAAAAGATGGCTCAGATTTTACCATATGCACAGCATCCCTTGGAGTTTGCCTTGAACTCCTCATTTCTTCTTCAGATTTGATAGTCGTGATGAGTTCTTCCAATTTTGGTACCTTTCTTTTAGCAGAGATGAAAGATATGAAAGCCTCCCGTGAATTAGGAAGAGAATTTATTAAATGAATCACTTGCATGGATTCATTGGGCTTCATGCATGTATCTTCCAAATCTTTTACTAGCGTACGAAACACGTGCACATGATCTGCAAACTTGGTACCTTCTACCATTTTTAAATCATTGTACATTTTCATAGTCATAGTTTGCTTAATGAGAGAGGGTTCAACATACTCTCTTTCAAGTTTATCAAAAGTCTCATTTGCAGTATATATTGACTCGTACTCAGAAGCATACGAGTCAGTCATGACACATAAAAGAATGTGATTGCATCTCAAGTTCCTCCTCTTCTAGTTAGCGCACTCATCGTTGATTATTTGAGATGAGTCGTCAAATGGACGATGAGGTCGGTCCTCAAAGAGTACCTCATGCAAGTTTCCTTTATATAACACAAATTTGATTTTTTTTATCCATGAAGTAAAATTGGTCCCATTAAACCTTTCGATTTTCAGGATCTTAGAGATGAAGGTACGCGCAGCCATTATATTTTATATTCTCAAGCAAAAATAAGAAAAAATTTCTAATGGCAATCAAGTAAAACTAGCTCTGATACCAATGAAAGAAAGACATCTGTAATCTTTTGTCGGGGAAATACAATTTTTTTTTTTAATAAATAATAATCACCCCTTATAATTTTGGCAACAAGATCACTCACAGATGGTTTTTTTACAAATAATAGAAATTCTAAAAAGTAAATAATACATTAATAAAATAAATCTCAACTACTTGATGCCATTCATACAACCTAATACTGTGCTTCAACCTAATACTGTGCTTGAGAATATAAAATTAAAGAACAAACAATTAAAAGAAAAGATGTCGGAGATTACCTCAACCGTGCTTTTTACACCCTACACCGAGTCACTACATCCAATGACGCGGGATCAGCGGTCTAGCTTCAATCTCGAATCGAGAAAGCTAATTTCGGTTAAACTAGGTAACCACTCTTAAATCTCTACAAAACCCTAATTCCTAAATAATAATGCTCAAACCCTAATTTTCTCAACCCTTAAATTAGATCTTGAGAGAGAGAGAGAGTCTCTATATTAGGGCGCCCCCTGGGGTCTTTTAGGAGAGAGAGAGAGAGAGTAGAGAGAGAGGAGCGTCGCCCTAAGAGAGAGAGGAGGGCGTCGGCCCTAAGAGAGAGAGAGAGAGTTTATGGGAGAGAGAGGTGTGTAGAGATATGGGAGAGCACCCTTAGTTAAAGTGAATTTTCGGTCTAGAGATATGGGAGAGCCCCCATGTATTTTTTTCAATAAATATTTTAAAATTAAACAAAATAAAATTTAAAACATTATAACTTCGTAAATTAATAACTTCATTTTTATAAGTCCAAAAATAAGAAATAAAATATCAAATGATTTACAAAAATTCAATTAATAAATCTAAAATAATTTAATAATCAAATGAATACAATTAAATTAATATGATGAGAAGTAGATCCATATAGTTCAGGAATTCAATCAACGATCACGAGGTACTCCACCTTCAATTGTGGAATACAGACCACACTTGCTTTATCGAACCGGCCCAATGTTTCCCATGACCCACAGTCCAAGCAGGGGCTCATTAGCGGGTCACAAAGGTCTGGTCGATAAGCCAAGGAGTCGCAATCCCAGTTTGTGGATTACAGGTCCTCCCCTAGAGACAAGTCAAGGTCACCACGATCTGATGCGACCACAGCTCTATGGCGCATAGGGGTATCTCTTGCACATGCATGTGCTTCACCCAAAGGTGGGTATCGAGCTTTTCCGAACAATCTATCTGTATGCATGCCGTGTGATGGAGCATGGATGAGTTTTTGGCCCCCGTCTCTGTAAGCTTACCATCACACACAAAGGTCACACAGTTCATCGGCTTACTCATCTAGGCATAAGCTCCTTAGAACTATTTGATGTGAAATTTAATAGCTTAAGTGTGGCACAAAGTTTGAGAAAATTTCTTTTGAAGTTTGAGCGTGGTCAATGGAATAATTGTAGCCACCCAATTTCACATCCAATAGTCAAGATTAATGTGACCACATTGTATCAAAAGTAAATTGTCTCATTCTATATTTTCCATTTTTCTAACATGTATATAAAGAAAAAGTATATAATGATACCATTTACCTTTGATACAAGTGGTCACAATTAATCTTAACCATTAAATGTGAAATTAGGCAGCTATATTTATTTCATTGACCAAGCTCAAAGGTCAAAAAACAATTTCTCGAACTTTGTGATAAACCCAAGCTGGTGTGAGAGAGAAAGACAGAGAGAGCAAAGGTTTTTCACTTCAGAGGTCATTTGGATACTTGAAAATATATTGTCTGTAAAATATATTACTGGCGTAATACATTACCTGCAAATAGATTCTTACTGTTTGAGTAGTATTTAGATGCAACCTAGGAAATACATTGCTACTATTTGGTTATGTCTGGAAGAAATATGAGAAATGTATTACCAATATTTTACCAGCACTTGTTTATAAACTATCATTTCTTTCTTTCTTGTGACAAAATTCTACTGAAATGCGGAATTAAAATCATTACACCATTCCAAAAATATTTTCTAATAATAACATCATCACCATTCCAAAAATATTTTCTAATAATAAGTGGTATCATTCTAAAGTCATCATGACACCATTTCCTAATTATTTTGCATGCCTTTTGCACTAACATATAATCACATGTCTTCTACCATGATTAGACTTTGGTTTCGTTAGAATAATATGATTTGTATTGTGATAAGCTTTATTTTTATTTATTTATTATAGAAATCTTTCAAATGTCTCTCTATATAATTTCAAATAAACAATAAATTAATGATACCAAATTCAAAATCTTTACGGTATAAGTTAAAAAATGGAAAGAAGTTTGATTAGTAAAGTAATTAAAGTAAAAAATTTTGAGGCATTGAGGAGACTAAAGATATATCTTATTTCAATTGAGCTTTTAATAATGGATTATGAGAATTATGTTGTATGAAATTTTTTATTATGATTGTATTGTGTAATTTCTCATTGATTACTAATTATTATTTTTATTATTTTTGTTTTTAAATGAGAGCTGATGACTTCATATGAAAAGTACAACCCAAATTGGGATAGAGGGATGTAGAAATGGATGTGACCAAGAGAATATAGAAATGGAATAAATAGAGTTTAGAGAGAAAATAGAAATGAATATCGCAGGAGAGAGGGAGAATGGATGGGCACAAGAGAGAGAGAAAATGACGGGGGAGAGAACAGGGCGGGAGAGATAGTTTTTCTTTGGGTCAAAGAAGGATGTAGTTAGATTACACTGTACAGTTAGATTACCTGTTAACCACATAATAGATCAGAGGCGGAATTGTAGGAGATAAAGTATTTTTTTGGGTAAGAGACTCATGTAGTTAAATTAACTGTTAACAAGTATTCTGCATGTAATAGATTTCATTCTTGTGTAATTTATTTCCATTTTCAGATATTCTATGCGTAATTGATTTCATGTATACCCAAACATAGTAAATTTTATATTTCATTATAATATGTTTTCCTATAATAGATTTTCTAACCCAAACCGCCACTTAGAGTTAATGAATAGAGGGAAAAGAACATAGAGCTCCAAACCCTATACAACAGAAGATTTTCTGTTACCCGAACCGCCATTACTGAATGGAGGGAAAAGAACATACAGCTCCAAACCCTACACAACATGATTTTGCTTAAAGTGGCCATCCTTGTCCATCTCCTTTATGGCGTAAGCATGTAACTAACTATTTTCTTTTACACAACTTCGACGCACATAGCGTGTTCTTCATGCACACATGCGCTAAACAACCCCTCAAAACACGAAGCAACACAACCGTTTGAAATTAATTCAAATGCTATATACATAAATAAGGGCCCATGTAGAGAGAGGAGCAAAAACCAGAGAGAGAGAGAGAGGCTCTCTAGCTCTGCCTTAGGCCCATTACTCCTAGTGTTTGTTGCCCACAAGGAACCTTGAAGGTTAGTACAGGCATTTAATATAGGGTGCTCAATTTCATCTATATAAACCTCATTCCATTCCATTCCATCAAATCCTCGAAACCCAAGTCTCAAGGTGCTTTCTCTCTCTAGTTTTCACCTTGTTTAAGCTGTTTGCTAGTGAGAGAGAGAGAATGGGGAAGTGGGTCTTGTTGGGTTTGTTCTTGTGTGTGATAGTAACACTGGGGGATGCATTCAGCTTTGAGGAGAGAGATTTGGAGAGTGAAGAGAATTTGTGGGATCTTTATGAGAGGTGGAGGAGCCACCACACTGTGTCAAGGGACTTGGGAGAGAAGCAAAAGAGGTTCAATGTGTTCAAGGAGAATGTGAAGTTTATTCACGAGTTCAACAAGCGTGACAAGCCTTATAAACTTGGGCTCAACAAGTATGGTGACATGACCAACCAAGAGTTCAGGGAGAGGAGATCTGGCTCGAAGGTGGCACACCACAGGTCCCGACGAGGTAGCCCTCATGGAACCACGGGCGGTTTCAAGTATGAGGGGGCCGTGGACCTGCCGCCCTCAGTTGACTGGAGGAAGAAGGGTGCCGTTACTCCTGTTAAGGATCAGGGCCAGTGCGGTAAAGCTAGAGAAACACACACATTCTCTCTCTTTCTCCATATCCACCACCCCTGCTCTATAAAAACACTCTTTCCACTCCCACCACCCCTTACCTTATCTCTACCAATTCTGCTCTATCTCTCTCATGAAAATGTCCATTTGCAGGGAGTTGTTGGGCATTCTCAACTGTGGTTGCAGTGGAGGGCATCAACCAGATAAAGACCAAGCAGCTCATCTCACTATCAGAGCAAGAGCTCATAGACTGTGATAACCAGGATAACCAGGGATGCAACGGTGGTCTCATGGATTATGCCTTCGACTACATCAAGAAAAATGGTGGGCTCACCACTGAGGAGAACTATCCATATGTCGCAGAAGATGGCACCTGTGATGCTAATAAGGTGCTCTCTCTCTCTCTCTCTCTCTCTCTCTCTCATGTAAAGCATTTTTTGATGTGCATGTGTGATGTGATTACAGGAAAACTCTCACGTGGTGGTCATCGATGGCCATGAGAATGTGCCAGTCAACAATGAAGATGCTCTCTTGAAAGCCACCGCCCATCAGCCTGTCTCTGTTGCCATAGATGCCGGCGGTGAAGCCTTCCAGTTTTACTCCGATGTCCGATTCTCACTCCCTAAAACAATTCTAGAAAACCAGCCAATTCCTCTCTCTCACACACACACCATACAACTACTAACAATTATCAACCACTGCTAACAATTATTAAACAAAAAAAATAGAAACTACTAATAAGTTCAGAAAAAGAATGTGCGTGCGGCGCTTTGGACTTAGACAATCTATGCTGCTGATTGCAGGGAGTGTTCGATGGTAATTGTGGAACAGAGTTAGACCACGGGGTAGCTGTTGTGGGCTATGGCACGACAGTTGATGGAACCAAGTACTGGATTGTGAAGAACTCGTGGGGCCCTGAATGGGGAGAGAAAGGTTACATTCGCATGAAGCGCGGGGTCTCTGCTCAAGAGGGTCTCTGTGGCATTGCCATGGAAGCCTCCTACCCTATCAAATCATCTCCAAATCCCCCCAAGAGAACCAACTTCAAGGATGAACTTTAAATTACCATGGGGAACCCACCCCAAATGTAGTGTCCCTCTACCATAAAAGTGCATGGTTTGTCCAGCACATCTCTGCTCTATTTGTTATTTACCATTGAAGAACTCCAACTTCAGTAACTACTATAAAGCAAGTTGTTCTCCTGCTTCCTTTTACTATATAATTTAAATACAATGCTTCAGTGATTTCCTCAACGAGGACATGCATGCATGCATTTGATGTGAGGGCATGGTGTCAGCCATGCTCACTGACCTACTGATCGAGAAAGAGAGTGAGAGAGAGAGAAAGGGAGACTGATTTCCTCCATGAAAGCACCCCATGAGCACACACCAACCTGCATGAGCATAAGACAATGTGCATTCTTTACTAGTGGACATCACAAGGCAACTACAAAATATACCATTCGCGTAGCCGTGTCAAGAATCAAAAGCAAAAAAGGTGATATAATAGAATCCTATATAGACAAGCCATGCACTGGAATGCTGCATTTCATATTTTTGAAGTCATTGTTTATATTTCTATATGACGGATGATACAAACCTGATTATTGATCAAAAGAGAAAAAAAGAGACTCGTACAAAGTTTTTTTTTTTTGAGGAAGTTAACCTTTAATTAGAGGATGAAATGAGTGCAACCAAATATGAGAGAATAGGCTATCCACAAGGCGGAAAGCTCTATGTACAAAGAGACATATACAAAGTTGAGGATCCAAATTTGCCAGAAGCCAAGTCACATCTCTCTCTCTCTCTCTCTCTCTCTCTCTCTCGATTAAGTCACAGTAGTTAGCTAGCATCTCTCTTCCTCATCACATGTCCTTTCATTTCCTCAGCTTCTTTTCTAAGTTTCAGAAGTTATCAGAACACTTTCTATGGCGCTTTGCTGTTCTCTGACTTATCACTTTCTCCATTGAAGGCCTGAGTCTTCTCACTAGAGTCATCCTCATCTTGAGCAAGTTTGCCAGGGTGTGGGTGTTCAGTTTTAGAAAGTCGGTCTCGGAGATCCCGAAGCTTCATTTTTTTAGAGTTCAGAACTGCAACAAACTACATACAAAAGCAAAAACAGAAACTTTAAGCAAGAAAAACTTTAAGCAAGAAAAGGAGGGAGGGGGATGAGGGAGAGAGAGTGCACAATATTCATTATTAAGGAGAACCCAAAGTATGCCTTTATTCCTATCTACCCCTCCCAAGTCCCATATCTCTGAAATTAAGCCCACTATAGACAGATCGGTAAAATTTCCAGAGTTTATCCAAGGTATCAATCCTGATTCTACCTTTAAAAGACGAATACTGCATGATCTTTTCAAATGGATGCAGAATAAGTTCTGTTACTTTGAGAAACATATATAATCACAAGAAATTCTTGTCAAAAGCGTGTCCAAAGGTATATGTTCATGCAGTACGAAACCAGCACACCTATGCTTTTTAAAACATAAAACACTGGGAATATGACATGTTGCATGGCTGTAAAGGAAGCCAATTGGCTGAAAATGTATGTAACGAATAAGAGTCAAAGGGAAGTAGAACCCGTTTCTCCTAAAAAGTACAATAAAAATAAAAATAGAAGGACAAGGTGGATTTTGGATTTCAGATCACAACAAATTATATTGAAAGAAACAAGCTCGCAACATACGGCCATTGAGAGATTGTGAGATTTCCCAGTGTATGAACATGAATATGTAATTTATTTCCATTCATAAAATTCTGAAACTAATGAAAAGCGTTTTCAAGTATTTCTTTTTAAAATAAATCAAAACTGAGTACTCTCTGTACTTTTCATGATATCAGAGACAGAAGTTACACTTAACAATCCACAAGTTTGGAATGTATGCCTCCAATTCAATAATGAAATGAATATTTTGGGAATTATGGAAGCAATCATCTTTCTAAACCATGTTAAGTGCATGCACCTTTGCATATGCAGCAGATTCAAATTCAGCCTTATCAATGTTGAACCTCTCACTCTGTGCCAAACATTTTTCAGCCTCAACTTTCATTCTTTCAAATGATCTGGTATTTCTAACAACTTCATCCTGCAAGTTACCACAAAACAAAGAAAAAAGTCCATACCTGGCCGAAGCAGTTTCAAAACTATCAATACACTTAAATCTTTTTCAATAGTAATACACTCCTAAATTTTGATCCTCAATTACTCCTTTTTTTAAAATAATACACTCTCAAATTAATATGTTTAAGTTTCAATTCTCATTTACGTAATCCATTCCAATGGCATCATCAAAACTGATAAGAAGCGAGAAAAAAGTTCTTAGTATGATGCAACGTGCACAGCTGCGAGAGCTCATTTCCAATTATGTTAGATGGAGCTCCCTAGGGGGGCATGCCCCAGGCCTCTAGTAGGATTTGGAAAAACTTGAATTTCCTGAAAAAAGGAAAGATGAGATATTCCTACTTTGACCTAAAGAAACCCTCACTTAACTTCATTAACCCAAAAACCAAACATATAACGCTTCCTTTCAGATTAGGGGTAGAGATTTATACAGGGATTAGCGCTTGCCAACACATAAGCCCCCAGATTGATACCCTGGAACTCAAGGTAAAGTAACTTTGTTTAAGATCAACAACTGTTATGACTTGACAAATTTATAACAATTACAACTAGTTTGCCACAACACTTGCTAGCCTATCTCATATACCATACTGTGCACATGGCTTTCTGTCATCTGAGGTATAAGCATATATAAATATGGCAGTATTCCATGTTTTAGAACCCAATCCCTTCAAAACATATGAAGCCAAACAACTAAATACCCATGAACAACCAACGAGACAATCTGGAGGTCAAGAGTGATATCACACCAACAATTCATGAAAAAACAGCAAACAAGAAGTCACGGAGCATTATGGTAACTGCCAACCATTGATAAACATGCCCGCATGAATAATTGAGATATTATAAGAAAACCCTGAAGTCTGAACAATTAAAGTAGGGTTCTAACTTCTAATAAATCAGTGTCTATTCAATCCAAGACCCATAATGGCCAAATATACTTTTACTGGAGTCCTATTGGGGCTGCTAGTTTGCACATTTATGTATAATGGGAGGTCAATCCCACGTAGGAATTCTAGTTCAACTAAAAAGAGGATGTGATTGATAGGCCGTACAGGGGTGTAACTAGAAGAACCCCAGTTTGGATAGTTCTGATATGCCGCAAATCAATTGCATGACCACTAAATGACTCCCAAATCCCTAACTGGATCAGTCAATATGAGAGTCTTATGTGAGTGTAAGAGCGGATAGAAGGTTTCTGGATAATACAAGAGCTTAACTGTTGAACAACCAAGGCCAATAAGTGATCATCATCATCAGAGACTTTTCCCAACTAATTGGGGTAATGTTACACGAATCCCGGTCCGCCTTCAGGATTTATGGAAAAGATTTGGCAAAGTTTTTCGTTGGCTGCCTACCTAACACAACCCACTTCCTTTACTTGGGCTTGGAACGGGTTAAGGAAAATTTTAACATCCCACCCTTCTTAGGCCAGGCGAGATGCACAAAAGGCATAAAAAATTATGGAGCCACAATATAGCTCCCATGGTAACCCATACAGTTTGGACTAATCTATTCATAAAATAACATCAAATGCATTTAACTAAATCCACTGTCAATCAACTATTCCTTAGTCGACCATGAACCCCCATAAAATGCTTATAAATCAAATTTTTACAAACAAATTTAATAAAATGAAATGCTGACTGACCTTGGAAACCAGCCACATGGATCTTTGTCGGGGAGTAACTGCCATGTTCTGAGTTAAAACTCTTGCCAGATTCTTCAGGCTTCTTAAATTCTTCGGAGTTATAGCATCATCCTGACTATTATGATGGCCCATGACATCAGTCTGCTTAGTATGCAGCTCTTCTAGGCATTCTGAACTGAGAGATTTTTACGAGCCTTATCTGAAGAGGTGTGCAAGCGTGTATCTCCTGAGATCTGATTCTCTTCCGATAAGTGATATTGGAAGGAATTTTTTAGACTACTATTTCTTTACTAGGCTAGGCATTCCAAACAAAAGGTGTCACGGAATTAGTACATGAAACTCTACAGGAATGAAGAGAGGTACGTTCACTTGAGGGCTACTTGATTTGCTGAAGTTGAGATGAATTCGTTCATTTGTTGTGGTAGTTCTGTTTCCTTCTAGTGTCCCTCTAAATCTCTGTGATAACCTCTCATATTCTAAGCCCTTGAAATCAGTTCCAACTTTGAAGAAATGGACTTGAAGCACCTAAGACAGTGCAAGTCTGAGTGGTCTGCCCATCCATTGAAATGGATGGTCCAGATAGCAAGTTGAGACACAATCAAGGTGGATCATTTTTAAGTCTCCCGATCCTTTTTTTTTTTTTTCCATTCATGATGTTGCTCTTGGGGTTCAAGAGGATAGATTTGCAGTTCGGGTCCAAAATATGGAGAAATGAGGTGTCTCACAAATTTTCAGCTGATGCCCCCATCACACCAATTACTTTTCCTTTTGAGAATCATGCTTCCTTTTTATAAGTTTAAGGAATCATGTTGCGGATTTTTGGGCAAAAGGCCTCACACTGACAACTAATCAGAGAAGTTACCCACCAAGTTTATGGCAATAATATCTTTTTCTTTTTTTTGGCCAAGTCAAAACATCAAATTCAGGAAGTGAAATCTACCGGTGCGAACGTGCCCAGATGCATGCATGCATATTATCTAGGCTAAAAATTTAGTTGAGAGTTGATATTATAACTAGAACTCAAATTGAGCGTAAATAAGAACCGGCAAAAGTATTACAAAAGAAGAAAAATTTATATGGACAATGTTCATGGACTTTTACATGTTAAATTAGAAAACAACTAAATTTAGTCAACTAGCGAACATCACTCACAATAATGATCCGAGTCAGCATTCAATTTCAGTTCACATGGACAACAAATGTTATTTAGGTTCACATGGGCAGTATTACAGAAATCAGTGTTCAACAACAGTGCTCAGGTAAGGTACTCGGCCCCTGCTAGATCTGAGTTACTCAGGTAAGTTGCTCAGATTCAAATAAGTCATGCCCGAGCCGAGGCAAGGAACAAAATGCCCCCAAAAGATAGGGAACAATGCCAAAAAATTTCAAAAAAAAAAGAAAATAGTAAACATCTAAAAGATATACAAAACTAAAAATATATATAAACCATGAAATATGAAAACTTGATATTATTGGCTTGAAAAATAATTGAAAAAATCCAAAAATATGGAAAATAAAAAATAGAAAAATAAAAATAAGGATATAAAGTACTTAGTTACGTAGAAACTAATTATAAATCAATTATAATTAACTAAGAAAAAATCAAATATACGAAATTTAAAATTGAAAAAATGAAATTTACCCAAAAGTTTGAGACCCATCTCCCAATCTTCGTTCTCAGTGCGACTTAATGCCTCTAATCCTTATGAAATATTCCTTATACCACTCAAATCAAAGACCCATCCCAAACCAAGGTTTCGAGTTTCGATATAGGAAATCTGAGCTCTTGAAAATTCCAATGAATAGTAAGTCTAAATCCAATTATAAATCTATCAGTGCAGTCATGAAATTAAAAAATAGAAAAAAATACAAAAGAACGGGTCTGATCTAGTGATTTGACTAGATGGTTCACTAGTTCGAGGCCAATACAATAGCCATTCTTTTCAGGCATTCGGGTCCCTGACCTGAATGGCCACTGGTTCACTGCTTCCTCGTTCAGACTAGCCGATCCAATCCAGTTCAGACAACATTGCTTTAAATAAAATTTTATTCAATCATAATTCATAGTAACTTTTGGTTTTGGTATTAAGAGGGGTTTGTTCACAATTAGAAAGTCCAATATTGTAGCAGCATCTAGATAGGGGTTCTTTCACAATGAACCACTGGAAAATTAAGAACACAGAATCTGATTCATGCATAAATTCAGCAAAAACGTTTCATATCTGTTAGAAGTATGAGGAGCACTAAAGAAATGGAGTGGAGTGCAAGATGTTACACTTAATCTTGTGTTTGCCTCCATAAGGAAGTCCAGTATTGATGCAGTGACTTTCTTATCATCTGATGACTTTTCACACTTCCAACGCCATTCTAGCTTAGTTCCTTGCTTCTCATATGCCCATGACAGCTGCACAGTAAAGAAAAGTATACTATAAGCCAATCGTCTATGGAATGTAGGGGGTAATGTCATGTTCTGGTGGGCTCCACTCTCTCTTTCACCATCCATCATTTAAATTAATGGTGATTTTCTATAGTAGAAAAACCATTGGCACCAACATCAAGCTGTAATCAAAGTCTCTCCATAGAATATTTTTTCAGCTGGTTAGCTGGGTTCAAACTCATAATCCTGAACATTACAAGATCAAGTTCCTTCCAGTTTAGCTGTGAACATGAACCGATAGATTGATAATCAATTTAACAAATAACACATACAAAAAACACACAAATAGGACGAGCTTTCATATCAGTAAGTGATAAGGTAAGTGATAAGGCCTCCAGCATAATACAGGAAAGAATACCTTGGTAACAACCAGTTTGCAGCAACATGTGTACAACTAAACAAACCATACTTACAGGCCAAGAGTTGAAAACCGCTTTCATCAAGTACCTCAGTTTGCCATGCATCATAAAGTACTCAAGTTTACTCAATGTTTGTTCTATCTTCCATCTTTGGACATTGTGTACCAATGACGATGGAAGTCGTAACTTCATCATTTGTATCTTTGTTTATTCTTTGACGAAAATAACTCTATTGTGTATCTTGGACTGATTTCTATGACATTAGAACCTTGTTCCTTTACATTGGATAAGATAAAAAGAATCATAAGATAGAAAGTCATGGGAATCATAAACCATAGTTTTAACAAATTTTACTACATTTTAAGCCCTTTCTCATTATTTCATAATAAAACATTCATTATAATGAGCAAATGCAATCCGTGGCCAAATGTGCTATAAAGTAGATTTTATTTTATTTTCTTTTGTTGGGGGTGGAGGTGATTTCTAATACTGTTTCCAAATTAATTAAATTTCCTTGCTCAATTTTATATCTTAGCCATGAGGTTCGGACCAACCAAGGGGGGGGGGGGGGGGGGTTTCTACTACTGTTTCCAAATTTATTAAATTTCCTTGCTCAGTTTTATATCTTAGCCATGAGGTTCGGACCAACCAGATAATGTAGCTATGAGCAGAGCAATCACAGCCACAAGTTTTCAGGTTGAGTATAGCTCCTTTGAATCTCAACCACATCAGTTTAAGGATTCGCTGGGCTTCATTTTGAAAGGCAGTGAAAATAAAATAACTCCCCCCAATTATCAGTTTATAGTGCACCTCTGGAGGGTCATCCATATCTTTTACGCCCATTTCATAACACCTCTGATATAGTGTCTAGGCCAGTTCAAATCACCCACCAAAGCTGCTCTCAATAAAGACTCTCTCAGAGCTGAAGTCTTTCCCAGTCAGGATTGTAAGTTTGCCATCCAAAACCGAGGTTTTTATCAGAGGTTGAATGGGGCTTAAGGTTTCGGGCCAAGAAAATCCATTGTGTATAAATCTGTGTTGGATGTGGCCTTTCACGAGGTGAGGTAGGTTCGGGAATTTTTGGTGGCTGTGTGTTATTACTGTAGTTATGAATCTGCTTCTGAGACAGCAGGAGTGTCAGGCTGAAGCATGGAGTGAAATACAGGCAGAGGGGTGAATGTTTTAGTGGTACGTGAAGAAAGTTTAAAAATGAGGTTGGTTTTTTTTTGGTATATTTCCAGGGAAAATTTGCTCTTGCTCTCAATATTGAAACTTCCAAATGTTCCTGATATAACTACATCACAATCCAAAGTTCATGCAACCCTAGGAACAGAACATCAACGGCAACATATTCAAGTCTTAAAATTCAACCAATTACTACACCTAAACCACAGTAGCATTAAAAATTATTCATAAATAAACAAGAGAGACAATTAGACAACCCCATATTTGAGGACCAGCTAAGCTCAGTTTCAGTGCCACCAAAACAAAAAGAGAAATCCAGATTCCATAAAATAAAAAAGGTCAGTTAACAAGGAAATGGTTCAAAGAGTTTTCTACCAACCCATCTTTCATTTTCTATTTTCCAAGCGCAGTCTCAGCTATCAAACTCTAAAAAATGACACATCAAGATTCATGAAAGTATGACGCGTGTGATCTAGCCGGAGTATATAATAATTTTTTTCCTTTCTTTTTCGATTCTTTTTCTTTTCTTCACGGTCTAGATCACTTACAAGTAGTCCTTTTACAATATAATAAATTCAAATAAAATAAAAGAAAAAAACAATAGGATCTCAAGAACTTGAAACCCTTCAAAACCTTTCTTTCAATAACAAAGAAAAGACACAACCTATGCTTGGGAAGAAAAGACACAATAAATATAGAAGAAACAAAAGAGTGTGCCGGAGATTACCTCAACCAGGTTTAGTACACCCCACACCGAGTCTCCTCCTTCCGATGGTGCTCGGGATCTTTGATCGGTCTCTTGATTTCTCCGTCTTATGACAAAACCCAAACAATACACATGGATCCCAATCTAGAACCACCCATCAATGCTTAGGTCTAATTCAAGCCCCTTGGCTTGATTCTTATGAGAGATAAAAATCAAAAAAGGAGGGAGAAAACTATTAGCTAGGGATGGTCCATTTGCTGCCCACAAAATCACATAACCAAAACCTAGCATGATTTAGAACCCATGACAGAGATTCAAGCTTAAGGTGGGGCTCGGCCCCTTATATTTCTTGAAGAGAGAGAGAGTAACCTATGTCGGGCATGCCCCTTAGAGAGGGTAGAGAGATAGAGATTTTATTTTAAAGAGAGAAAAGAGAGAAAGTAAGAGGTGTAGAGACAAGGGAGGAGAATGATCCCTTTTTATAGATTTTTTATGCATTAGGGTGCAATAAAATCGTTGGAACAAATCTTGACCGTCGATCTAAAGAGATTTGTGGGGTGAGAGATATGAGCCATCCATTCCCTAAATCCACCATCAAGAAGCTAAGGAAAGTACTAGAACCTTATCCTCCCTTTCCTAAACTTATTCCTATCAAATAAGTTAAATAAGAAAATTCTCTCTTTACTTTCTCTATTGGTAAATATTCATTCTTTATTTTTTAAATCAAACTTCTTGATTAACAAGATATTTTAAAATTCAATTTTATCATTTTTTAATGCAAGTACACTTCTCTCCAAAATGGAAAGCCAACTAGCATGGGATGCCTCTCACCATATTTAGCAAGAAAAAGGCAAAATACCCTATGGGTGGGGCGTGCCACCCTTTCGTGGCCACTCATGGGCCCCACCCAATTGTCCCATGTGATTTAAATGGGTCTTCAATAATTATGGAGGATCCTACATATTTTAGAAACAATAAAAATTGATTTTTAGATTTTTCAAACCTCTTAGTTTATTTAGAACTTTATAAATGAATTTATCTTGATTTATAAATCCAAATGACAAAATTAAAATATCAAAAGATTCATAAAAATTCAAATAAACATCCTAAAAATCAAATAACATAAAAATAATTAAATTAAATTAATTTTGATGGGAATTGGATCCGAACAGATCTAGGATTTAATCAACACATAGGAGCACTCCACCTTCAACTGTAGACCACGATCCACACTAGCTTTCTCAAACTGACTTTGCAGTTTCCATGACCCACAGTCCACTGCAAGGGCTCATGATTGGACCGTCAAAGTCAATCAATGGACTAGGGAACGTAATCCCAGTATGTAGATTTCAGGTTCTCCTCTAGAGACAAACTATGATCCGTTAAACCATGATGCAACCATGACTGTATGATTACTATCTCAGTACGACTATCTATGTACATGTCATGATGATACAACGAGGAGATTTTAGTTTTGTCGCTATAGACTATTCATCAAACACAAGGGTGACACAATTCTTCAGCTCTCATCGGGGTATACTCCAACTTCATCAAATTCTTCAGCTCTCATCGGGGTATACTCCAACTTCATCAAGGGCTAACCCACTAAACCTTCCTCGGTTTCATCTCTATGCCCAGGTACCTTGGGTTTTTCAACTCGGTTGGCCTAGTAAGTCAAGCCTAGTCCTGAGTATTTGCAAATTGTATTTGCCTAGTATGGTCATAAGAGAACCACACTTCCACAGAGTTTATGTTCACTATATACAATGCTCAAACTCATAAGCTCAAACTCATAAGGCCATCATGTAATGGAGCTTCAAATCTCATTGAAAATCCCCAATACAAAAAAGGAAATTGTATAGAAGCAGGTAAGAAGATGAGAAGAAGAATGAAACTATAACCAGTAGAAAAACGGACCAAAAATCACAAGAATTTTCTCTTTAGCATCTGAATTCACTACAAATTCCAAGAAAACCCACTAAATGTATTCCAACATTAAGAAAAGATGAAAACCGAAACTATATTCAGTAAAAATCCTAAAAATCCAAAAGAAATTCAATCGAAAAAGGCAAACGATAAATTCACACTCACCCTCCTGTTTTCATCACCAGCTGGAGTAAAAGCATAAACCGAACCAGGTTGTTGAAACCCCAGGTAATGCTCAGCTGTTTCAAGATATTCGGACACCAATTGATCCCACTGGTTCGCCCTATTTTCCACTTCCTCCTCTGAAGCTGTAAAATACTTATCCCTCATAGTTAGGGCTTCAAAAAAACAAAAGTATTGGAAATGGAGAAATGGGTTACGATTAGAGCACAGGCTTAATGCAATTGCAAATTGAGAAATGGGTTTTTCTTTTTTACCATTGCAGGTCCAGGTCCGAAGGCCGTCTGTTATTGAAAGGCTGAAACGGGAAGGAAGCCATGTCCCCATGATGTAAAAGACGCCGTCTTTGCTGCCAAGGTCCAGTCTCATACATGAATGCTTTATGGAGTCTTCCATCCTCTCTTTCTCTCTCTCTCCCTTGAAATTGGACAGTAGAACTCTGAGCTTGAATTGTTTCCCGCTATGGGAAGTTGCAGGGCAAGATGCAGGGAGGACGTAATGGAATCTAACAGGGAAGAAATCAGCGTGGCGGCAAGCGGTTTCTCAGTTCACTCTCAAATCATGATCCATATATGAAGTTTATGATTATAGCTGCATTCTTACCGTCCAATCGTTGATTGCATGGTGATAGAGAAAGAATGCACCTTGGATCAGTTTCATGTTTTATTAATCTTTGGTTATCCAGAGGCCAGACTAAAGCAAAAGCCCCATTCCGTTGAAAACCGGTCAAAGGGGGACTGACTACAAAGAACCATTTTATTTTATTTTTTGTATATTGAGTACACGATCATTCGTGGTCGTTAAATTTCAAAATGCACAGTTCCAAAAAAAAAAATTTACACTTCATCCGAAGCTATCCAATTTAATATCTAATGAATTTGAAAGATTGAGACCTCCATTTACAAAAGACAAATAATCTCTTTATATAGACAAGGGTGCTGTTTTTTTAGAGCCTAGGCTCTAAACCATCAAATTAGAGCCTACGATCAAATGTTGTCGAGAAATATGGTTTCAATACTGTAAATCTTTGTGGCAACATTAAAATATATTTTTATAGTTATTTGTAAAGTTACAAGCTTCAAAAATAGTGCATATCGACAGAGCTATGAAAATTTGAAAATCTTAAAAATTGACGGTCCAAAATTCGTTACAAAATACATTATTTCTAAAACTTGAAATCTATTTTTTTCTCATATCCATGCATCTTGATGTTGAGATGATCAATTTGAGGATATTTGGACATCAAAACAACTTCTTCTATTGAAAATTTTGAAGTAGGCTCTAATTTTATTGTTCAGAGCCTCAGCTCTATATAGACAATCCCTATATATTTATATTTTTCAATTATTATTCCTCGTGTTTTTAGAAATTTGGTTCAACTAGTTTGATCAACATCAAACTGATTTTGATTGGATCGGACCTCTTGTTGATTTAATGATTGGTCTCATCCTAATAACAATGATATTAAGTACAAAGTGGTCACAATTAATTTTGACTATTAGATGTGAAATTGGACGGCTGCATTCATTCTATTGACTAAGCCCAAAGTTTCAAAAAAAAAAAAATTCTAACTTTGAAATACACCCAATCTATCAGATTTCACATCGGATAGTTATCAATACTTATGACCTCATTATACTAAAGATAAATGGTCTTATTGTATACAGTCTTCCCATTTATTCATGATTTCTTCTTTCTCTTTAGGACAGGAATCCAAATCTTCTCAGGTAAAAAGAAGTTTACCATATAGGGTGTACGCCAGTTGTAACAAATAGCCCGTTCGACTTGGAACTGCACAAGTCGAACTGCAACCCAACTGGGAACTTGTGTAAGGACATACCCCATGCTTCACAATTAGAATGGAAAAGTATAGAAATAGACTATTTACCATTCATATAATGAGGTCATAATTATTCTTTTCTGTTGAATATCAAATCATGTAATTATAAAAAGTGTCATTCAGACTCAAAATTGAAAATAAAATTTTTAAAAAATTGTAACACATTTCAAGCCATCCAATTTCCTATCTAATGACTATAAATAATTATGACCCCTTGCATCTTATCATTTATGATCCTTTAAAAACAATTCCAAAGCAAATATTACAACCTATTTTTTGCATCTTTTAGTCTGTAATCAAAGCCTGTAATCAACGCCCCTCGGTAGATTATAGTACCAATTACTCTTTCTTAGCCCTTATTCAATAGCATTTTTGTTTTTTTTTTTTCGGATATGGGATATATATTTTTGTGAAAACGCAAAGTTCCATGAGCCTAAAAACCTATTATGCCATTGTTTGCATGTTCTCTCTAAAATCTCAACTAAATCCTCTAAAAATGTGTATCAATTTGCCGGTCTTTAATCTCATATCAAATGAGATAAAAAAATGTAAACTAAAAACGATCAAGTCTAAATTTTTGGATTTTTTTTAAAACAAAATTGAAAAAAAATTGATTTTTCTCTTAATATTTAACCGAGTCTCTTCAAATTTGTCCCTAAGTATTTTTATGACCTTGTATTTTCAATCAAAACCAAAAAACTTTAAGATCAACTTTTTGTTTAACTTTTCTGTCATTTTTTTTCCTAATTATTTCTGATGCAGATAAAGATTAGTGTTGTTTTTTTAGTTTCTTAGTGTTAAACTTTTTCTTACGGATAGGAAGTGCGTTGGGATATGAGAGGGAAGATTTGATTTGTGAGTCATTTTGGGAAGCCTTATCTTTAAATCGTGAAAAATAATGGAATAGTTAAAGGTAAACTTCAAAATTCTTATTTTTATGAGATTTAGTTAAATATTTATGGGAAAAATGAAGAGATTGAAAGAGATCAAGCTATGGAAAAGATGAAGGGCGGAAAATAGGGCATGGAGAGAGAGTTTTAGGGCGTGGGAGAGAGAGAGTTTTAGATAGAGAAATAGAGTTTTATTTTTTGGATTTCTTTTTCTATTTATTTATTTTATTATTTTTAAATGTAAAGTTGATATTGCGAAGAGATGTTTTTGGGGTGGATTTCCTTCCAGACTTTGAGATATAGTTTTTTACTCAAACTTTTATTTTATTTTTATTTTTTGGCTTATTGTTATTTCTCCTTGCATCAAATAGTATGCAAGTAAGATTCATCAATTACCCACCGAAACCTACTCTTACGATCGAGGATCTATTGCTGCAACTCATTGATTATGTGGGTCAGCAAATTAAGGAGAGCTTGAACACAACCTTGCAGGGTGTCCGACGCGACATAAGTGAAACCAATCTGGGAGTGCAACAGTTGGAGGACGCCATTCATCGAGAAGATGGTACTCGCAACCACATGGACTTTGCGCCAAATCTTATTATAAAGACGAATCGAGTTCCCAAACTGACCCGGACTACTGATCCAGAACGTCAAGAACAAATTTGTAAACAAGATCCACATCCTATAGAGTGCCTACGAGATTTATTTCATAGATTGCAATTGGAGGAAGAATAATATGAAGCGGTAGATCTCGTTGCAAAAACGATCTTGACTGCCCAAATGTGCAAGAAATTTCAAAAATCAATTGTGGAGAAATCAATATTCATTCTGGTATTCTAGAGTTTGTTGTCTCAAACTTCCACTACAAATCGTATTGGATATATTGTTTACTAATAAATAAAAAAAAGTGTCGAGACGCATGGTGGGACTGCATTACCTTCTTTTGAGAAGACCTCCAAAATATTTGAGTTCAATAAATACGAGGTTAAGCTTCTCCCAATCCGGAGAGAATGATACAAATGAATTATTATTTTTTAGTTTTTTAGTATTATTGTTATTTTTAGTTTTTCTTAGGGATAGGAAGTGCGTCGGGATACAGGAGGGAATATTGGGTGGATGAATCATTTTGGGAATCCTTATCTTTAAACTATAAAAAATCGAATAGGTAGCAGTAATCTTCGAAGTTCTATTTTCATGTACTTACGAGATTTAGTTAGAAATTTAACGGGATCATGGGGGAAGAATGAGAAGAGATTTAGTTAGATATTTAGGCGGATCATGTGGGAAGAATGATAGATTTAAAGAGATCTAGATATGGAAAAAGATTGGCGACAAAGATTTGAGGAAAATAGGGGTGGAGACAGAGAGAGTTTTAGGGCATAGGAGAGAAAAATATAGTTTTATTTTTTGGGTTCTTTTTTTTATTTACTTATTTTATTATTTTTAAATGTATTTAAAGTGAAGAAATCCATCTTCAGAAACCTTTTTTTAGTAGATTCTCTTGCAGTCTTTGAGAGATGGTACATTTTTCCAAACTTTTACCTTATTATCATTTTATGGTTTATTATTTATAGGGAAAAATAGTATCAAGAATGATTAAAATAAAAAAAGTTAGGGTTTCAAAGAATATATCATTTTGCAAAGTAATCCATCCAAAAAGATCTTTCACCACTTTACTATGAGGGACTTCTTCTAATCAAATAAACTTTAGAAAAAAAAAAAAAAAATTAAACTATTGTTTTATCTCTCGCCCTAAAACTCTCTCTCTCTCACGCCCTATTTTCCTCCATCTTTATTCCTTATCTTTTCTGATAGATCTATTTAAAGCTCTCCTTTTTTTCCATGATGCGCCTAAATCTCCTAACTCTATCACAATAAGAATTTCGAAAATTACCCCTACCTATCCCATTATTTTCTATACTTTAAACAGAAGGCTTCTCAAAACCTCTCATGCACCAAATATTCCCTCCCATATCCCACCGCACTTTCTATCCCTAAAAAGAACTAAAACAATAATGCTAAAAAACTAAAAAATAATTACATTGATCATCATCTGCATCAGTTTCTTTATTTAAACTCTTTAGTTTTGATTTTCATTTGTACATCAATTATTTGATTTTGAGTATTTGAGTTTATTTTTTGTTTTTTTATGAAATTTTTCGCCCTTTCTTTAACACTGGCCAAGTCGATTGCAAAGTCGATCATCTCGACTCAGACCCGCCAGGCGACCGATTTAGGTCCCTTAGTCGGGATTTTTAAACACTGGTGTACATAATGCTAATCGGTCGTCGGGATTTTTAAACACTGGTGTACATAATGCTGCAAAAACGAATCCGCCTGCCAAAACCATTACTAGATGGAGTAACCTAGTATCAGCTGATCCGACCATGTCAATTAACAAAGAAAGTCATGAAATAAAAAACCAATTGGAATTGGACGATATGGGGCTCTCAAGAAATAGATCACCCACCTGTCAGTTCTAATCTTGATCGGTAAATTATGATTTGGATTAGTGCCGTCTTCAACAAATGTTTTAAAACATGGATAAACTGTCTGAATTGGTCCCTTGCTTTCCCAATCCGGATCATTAATTCTTTATTGAATCGACTGATCCGGTCCAAAAAATCAAATGAGAAATGGAGCAAAAGTAATTATCTATACTCAAATCAAGGAAGGCAAATTCTGAATTTACTTTCTCTTAATTGGGTGAAAACAACATAAAATTTAGAATTGAAAACGATCAGGATCCAACCACACTATGGTTTGCAGTTTAGATATTTATAATTTCTTTCTAGCAGTGCCGGTTGGATCTCGTTCATTGAATTCAATAATTTCTTGAAATAAAAGAAATTAAGCAAATTTTCTATTTACATTGAATTCAAAAATTAAAAGGTGAGGCCTGTATAAGGTGTCAACCTTATACTATTGAAGTAAGGTGCACCTTAAAACTGTGCCGAAAATGCAATTTTGGTGCTGCAAAGCCTTGCGATGAAATGAAAATCTATCGTTGCCCCCAATTATAAAATTTAAAGTTCTAGAAATTGTGACAATCAAGCAGATTTATAAAGACTTAAAAATCTTTAAAATAGACGGTCCAAATAACGAGTCAGAAGATGAACCATTTTTTAGACTAGAAATCCTATTTGTTTCATGTCTAAGAATCTTGAGGTCGAGATGAATGATTTGAGGGTTTTCCAACATAAAAACATCCTTCTCTAGTAGGCTCTTTAGGTGGGTGCACCTGACTTGTATAGTATAAGGTTGGCGCCTTGTATAAATTTTGTCCAAAATAAAAATCGAGCGGATCACAATCAGGATTGGCAACTTGCCGACTCTAACCGGTTTCCTGGAGACCGAGGTCACTTGACCATGTTCAAACACTTGGATATCCGAGAAAACGTACGCTCGAGAGAATCTTGATTTGTTAGAGTTGTTAGCTTACAACCCAACACAATAATGGAACTAAGTCGTCTTGATTACAATAATTATTTCTAAAAACGGGTAGAGGCATCTATTCCCCACTAATATACCAAAAAAAAAAAAGTCGTTTTGATTATAGCCACAATTGTATGGGAACATTTTCCTTTAATAATACGAACAAGTAGTCTTTCAAACCCAGCAATTTCCAGTCTGTATATGGCCAAGACCGAATTGATTCAAGAAAGGTATTGTACCGGCTTAGGCCCTCCTTAAAACAAACACCCCCCTTTATATTTTTTTTCCCTTTTTTTTTAACTTCTCTAATATTTCCTTGTCTCCCCGAAAACACCCCACACAAATCACTATTTAACTTTTTTTTTTTAAATAATTTTCTTGATGACCTGTCCTGTCCGGTCCAGATTTGCTATCCAAAAACCCAACATGGATATGTGGGGTGGAGCATCGACCTTATCCCTCTAAATGGATCGTGTTCAACACAAATGTTAGAGCAAAAAAAAAAAAGCAATTTGCTTCCAAGTCATCATCGATTTGATGAGAAAAACGAAGCAATTCAATTTCGGCCCATTCTGGGGAAGATTTAGGATTTTTTCATTTAACATAAATAAATTTGATATTTATGTATAAAAATAATATGTAAATTAAAAATAAAAATAAAAAATAATGCAAAAATAGTTTTATATTATTTCTTTGCTTAGGTCGTATCGGTTTGAAGCGGACTGAGCTTCGGCCGAATCAACTCAAAACTACAATGCTAGGCTTCGCTTTGATCAAGGCCTAAAATCCAAAGGCGTCGCCTCTTCAGCCAAAATAAAGCGAATTCGACAACATTGGAAAAACACAAGCCAAGCGCCTAAAAGTCGTCCAACTTCTTGCACTTTTTCTTCTATTGCTCTTCAATGCTATATCACGTCCAAAAGTTTTTTTATGATTACGAGTGAAAGTAGATTTGGAAGCTATCACGAGGGATTCTACTTCCCAGTGTTTGACAACCCGGCCGGATTGAACTGACGCCGGTTGTGTTGCCGGCCACTAGCCATGGCTGGTTAGGTCGGTCAATCAGCTTGACCATCTTAACTTAAAAAAAAGAATTAAAAAAAAAAAGAATTTCTTTACTCGTTTTTTTATGCCATTTTGTTTTGGAAAGATTGAGAAGTATTTAAGCCAAAAATATTTATTTTTACTTTTTCCTTTTACCTATCTTTGTTAGATCATTTCTAAAATATCCTTCGCACAAATTGTTTTTTCAAAATCCATTTTTTCCCTACCATATAAATCTCATTTGGATGTATTTTAATTAATCATGTTTTTTTTTTTTGGTAGATCAGTGGGAAAGACAGGCCCCCACCTATTTTTAAAAATAGCTAGTGGTTTTTTATTGTGTCAGTAGGAATGGAAACATAAACAGCTAGCAGAGGCTCATGTGGTGTTACCACTACGACCTCGACCCCATTCCCGTATATTCATATTTTTTTGAGATTTTTTGAAAATTCTTTTTAGATTTTTTAACTTTTTTTCAGCCCTATCCAGACCTTGGACCACGAGTTTTTTCAAGAAGGAAAAAAAAAACTAAATTAAATTCTTAAATACTTAGAACACCATCCAAAAATTGGACAACCAATTTTAAAGATAATATCTTCGTACTTAAAGACAATAATAATAGGATGTGGGTTTGAACAAGGTTACAACCTTAAACAATCCAATTAAAGCGCACCTCCAAATTTTATAATAAAAACCAAAACTAAGGAGGGAGATATTGTCCAATGATATTTTATGGTGGGGTTTATGATTCCCATACTTAGGGGGGCCAGGCCCGGGCCCGGGCCAGCCCTAAAAAACTACCAAAATGTGACTTGAGGTCAGAGCCAGGGCCAGGCAACCACGCCCCAAAAACTCAATACTGTCATTCAATCATTTAGGAAGAGCCACAATAATGCCGTACAAATTAGCAAACGGCCATCCGTCTACCCCCAATGATACCAGAGGCAAAGAGGGGAACCCAGTGTAATTTCTCAATTCTCTGCAGCCTCACGCCCAACCCCTCAAATCCACTTAAAGCCACTGGTGTGGTCATAAATCTCCAATCTTCACAGCCGAAATTTCGCCGAAATGTACTGTATAATAAACCATAGAGGGCAAAGGACCCCGAGAAGAATAAACGCCTTTCTCCATTTCTTTTCCAGAAAAAGAAACGGGAGAATATTCAGAACTTTTGCACATAAAATATAACAAAAATAATCAAATAAAAATTTTAAAAAAAGGAGTATTTATGGTCAACGAAGCATCATTGACACAGAAAATACGAGGTTGTGCGCCATAAAACCAGCACTTCTGAAGGCAGGCCAGTACCATGACGTGTCAAATCCCTATTGGTAAATATCCAAGCCCCATCACATCACCGTGCTGAGTAGGAGAAAGAAAGGAGCTGCATTAAATTGATGGAGATGACGTGGCGAAGAGAGAGAGAGAGAAATCATGTGATGCGAGACGTGGCACTTTTGGTCAAAGTCTACGTTCTCAGGATTCTGCCACGTAATAAACAATTCAACGTGGCACAATCGGATATCATGACATCGAGCGCGTTCTGATTCGTTCAGGCTTTCGGCTATTTTAAATCCATTTTTGATGCTTCACGGTGGAGAACAAAGATACGGGGTGGGGCACCATTTGGACCGACGTATAAAAGAAGCAGAGATGGGTTTTAGCATGTTTTCGAAGCAAACAAAAATAAAGAACTGCTGTTGCCTCTAAATTTATCCATAAATATGCCTAGAGAGACAATAATTGTAGGGAGATAGGAGAGAGAAACGTGTGGCCGCTGTCTAAGCCGGCGATTCGTACTGCAATTAACACAAAGAGACGCCATTTCTGGAAAGAAAATGCAATACAGACAAGTAATAATAGTAAAAGTAAAGGAAGTTTTAAATGGGATTTGGTAAAAGTCTTGACTCAAGGGGAGGGGAGGGGAGGGGAGGGGAGGAGAGAGAGAGAGAAGAGAGTGACGGGGGAGGGTAAAAAAAGTAAAAGAAAAGGAGGTAATTCTTCACGTATAATTTTGATCACGATACAACAGTTGAATTCTTCTGATGTCGTAGAAAATAAAAACGAAGTAAACCCAACCATCTATCACTGACTGATGAATGCTACATAAGACACGTCTAGAGAGAGAAAGAGTAGATACAAATGATGCAGCGCACAAAGCTCCGCGGAGAGAGGAGGGCTGGAAATAGATAGAAACAGATAAAATGCGAGGGGAGAAATAAAATGAGAGGGAGAACACATGGACATACAACGACAAACAGAGAGAGAGAGGTCCCTGATGCAGATTTGGAGCACCCATCAGCTTACCTGCGCGCAACTCCGAGGGCGAGGAGCGTGCTGTTGGTCATTTCCCGGCGAGCAAGTGACCACGGAGGAGGTAGTGGTGTTGCCAAATTGTCCACTGTCTCCCTCTTCCCCAATCTTAACAAGATGACTCGAAGTGGTGGGGGAGAGCATGACTTCCGAAGTGGGAAGAAAGTCCTCGGCCTCCCCTTCCTCTTCCTCATCAGCACATGACCCACTATCTCTTGCTCTTCTCCCCATGTCATTCTCCTCTTCAGAGGAAGATGAGGCGGCGGTAGAGGGAGGAGGAGGTGGCGATGGGCGGCGGATCTTGTGACCGCAGATAGGGAGGGGCGGGGTCAAGGATTTGCCGTCACGAGGGGGGGAGAAGACGACGGGGAGATATTCATCGATGTCGCATGCGAACTTCGAGTTCCTGAAGTGTTCCTTCAACGCCTCCAAGCCCTGGATGCCATGATCACGTCCAATTACATTCAGGCCCCACGTATAATAAAGAAACGAGTAGAAGTAGAGAGAGAAATACCTCAAAAATAAGAAAATAAGAGAGAGACCTGGAGATAGAAGTTGAGTTGACGTGACCATAGAGGTAAAAAGGACTGGGGATTGAGGGAGGGGGAAAGAGAATGAGAGGATGGGAGTGAAAGAGAAGGACATTGAGGTGACGAGAGATGGAATGCGAAAAAGTCATGAGGAGAGATAAGATGAGGTGACGACTGATGAGAGAGAAAGAGTGAGAAGGTGGGTCGATCACTTGACGTGACAGTATGAGAGATAATCAACATTTAACATAGTCGCTAGACTTTAGAGTGAGAAGTGGTATATCAATAACATTGTAGATGAATGATGAAATAGGGAGAGAGTATGCAAACATTTCAAGAGGACTAAAATAAAATACTCCCGCGAGAACACGGTGTACAATCACTTTTGCTTATGAGATATTTTTGTTCAGGTTATAAGTAGAGCTTTTCAGTTGGGCGCGTTACGTTAGGCGGGGATTAACACACGGGAGTGCATTGAAAATAAATATGCTCCGGCGGGGGAGCTAAGTAATTTGTCAAATATCGTGAGGGTCAAAGATGTTGAACAGTTGAGGGCGAAGTGGATGACAACGAGACTGGACGGGGTTAGTACACATGCACGAAGAGAAAATCAAGATGGCGAAAGTTTAGAGAGAGAAAATCAAGATGAAGAAAGTTTAGAGAGAGAAGAAGATCGAGATGAAGAGAGTTTAGAGAAAAAAAAATCACGATGAAAAAAATTTGGAGACATAAAATCAAGATGAAGAAAGATTAGAGAGAGAAAATCAAGATGAAGAAAGTTGAGAGAGAGTAAGTAGAGAAACCTGGAGTCGGGCATAGGTGACTTGGCATATTTTGCGAGAGTTGAAAGCCTCCCATCGTTGCTCGTTGAAGGCCTTGTAGAGCTTCCATGTGGCCTTGGGCGATGTAAAATTCACGAACCCATACCCCACGTTGCACTTGTTCCTATATAACTCGAACAACATACCCATCATCTCTCTTTCTCTCTCTAGAAACTCGCCTCCCCCAGGCCTATTCTCTCTCTAGAGAAAGTACTCGAAACGGAAAATTGAAGAGCGAGAGAGAGAGGGAACTCACTTGAAATCAATGGGCAAATAGACGAAATCATATGCGGATAATGGCTCGTCACCAGTGGCATTCTCGTTGCAGTTGATGCAGTGCTGGTCCAGCATGTTCAGCAAAAGCTTCTGACTGCGAAAAAGCACGCCATAAAACACAGGTAAGTGCGTTAGAGAGAGAAACACTTTGCAGGAAAAAGATGGCAAATCCCCCCCCACACAGTGCCCAAAACACAGCACAACAACTATTAAGAAAAAGGTAGCTACAGAGAAAAAGAGCTTGCACATACAACAAAAGATGCTCAAAGATGGTATAAAAACCAACTTCCGTGATCAAAAGGAAAAACTCCCAAACATCCAAGGGATTCAAAAAAAATGGGACAAAAAAAAACCCACAGATACCAAAGGAAAGAACTGGAAACCTAGAGAGAGAAACAATAGGGAAGAAAGTCTATTGCATTGCCATAAACAAAAACAAGACATGACCCAAAACCCAAAACCTAGAGAAAGAAACCACGCAAAAGCTTTACCAATCACTAAAAAGAAATCCCACAAACCCAGGCAAAACCCAAAATCTAGAGAGAGAGGGGGAAAAGACCCCAACCTATACTTATTGGGGATGTTCTTTATCATCAACGTTGTCCTCGCATCACTGGAGTTCGACTCGGCCGTAGCCTCGTCGAACCTAAACCGTGATTCCCCTTTGGCCTGAGCTGCGCCCCTTCCTCCGCCAAGAAACTTGGGCCCATGGTGGTGTCGCTCAGTGGTGGTGGTGGCGCCTCCTTGAACACCAAAACTGCTGCCATCTCCCCTCCCTCTCTTCCCCATATTAAAATTATTATTATCACCAGTTCTAAAACCACTTCTGGAGCTAGAAGAACCAGCGGTAAACTTGGCGGAGCCACCACTTGAAAAGGCGGAGGCAGCACCATTTCGCCTGGAAACTGGCCGGAATCCGCCACTCCTTGAAGGAAACCCACTGCCACATGAGACAGGAGGCCCTGTGTTTTGCCATAATGGTCTTTCAGGACGGTTGATAACGCACCGAGGAGGGGAAGGGTGAGGGTATATGGGTCGATTTTGTGGAAAACATGTAGGTGTAAAATGGGCATTTTGTGTTGAAGGGACGGTGGCGTCGCCACCATGGGGGAGGATCCCAGCTGCTGGATGTCGTTTGGCATGGCCACCGGGGCGGCTGAATTCAATCTTGAGGCGCTTTCCAGCAATTTCTTTGCCGTTCATCTGGGTCAGGGCCTTGGCCGCATCTCTTATGTCGAAGAACTCGACAAAGCGGTGCTGGCGCTTCGCTGGAGTTTCTCTAAGCTCTTTCACGGGACCTGAGAAGACCAAAGACACAGAAAAGCAATTTCTTTGAAGAGAAAGAACAACAAATAAAATAGTAAAGATCATCTAAAATTTTAGAAGAGAGAGGGACTCATTAAACAACCCCAGAAAAAAAAAGAAAAACTTTCATGAAAAAACTTCAAAGACAAACCCAAATTGGAGAGAGAGCGAGCGAGCGATAGAAACACAGAAAAAAAAAAGCATCACATGCAAATGCAACTCCTTACAATTTCTTAAAGAACCTAACGAAGAAAAGATAATTCATAATAGAAATAATATCAACCTAAATTGAGAGAGAGGGAGGACAATACATGGACTAGAAGAAAAACCTGAACAAATTTTATGAGTAATTGAAGTAAAAAATAAATTTTGATGAAAGGGATGCTTAGTTGTCGTGCAGTAGTGCAGGAGGGCCATAAATGTGGGGGGAAAATAACAAGTCACAGACAACAAAGGAGAGCAAGGTTAGAGAGAGAAGGAGAGAGAGGGGACAACAAATACGGGCTATATTTAACAAAGGACCACGAAAAATCAGCCGAACAGATGCAGCACCAGGTGCAATATGCACAGTAGATGAGGAATTCAAATGGAGATGGAGGCTCTCTCTCTTTAACGCGCACAGCTAACTCAGAATAGCAGGCAACCTCAACCTCTCTCTTCTGTCTCATCCACCCCACTCACAGGGACCACAGAAGTTACACAGCCAATTCTCTCTCTCTCTCTCTAAAACCAAACGTCGCCTAGAACACTAGGCGAATCTAGGACGACACAGAAGAAATAAGAAACCAATCAATCCGTGGAGACCGTGTAATCGAATTCACAAGGAATCTGAAATATGACTCCTTCTCCCAACCTCAATGGATTCTCCATTCTTCTCTCTCTTGAAAGCCAACATGCAGGAAAAACACTCAGAATCGCCAATTGGCATCATAAAGCAACAAAAGCTAAAGCAACCACTGAGCCAGATAATTAAGCAAGAAAATTAAAGAGGCTCTCTCTCTCTCTAAACAACAAGCACAAAACTAATCCCCCATGTCTCTCTCTCTCTCTCTCTCTAAACAATCACAAAACCAATCCTCTCTCTCTTACCAAAAGCCTCGAAAATCTCCTTGAGGTTCCCCATGGTGACCTCCTCCGCCAAATTGAATACCACCAGCGTCCCCTGATTCTCCCCCTCTCTGCCGCCTCCCCACCCCGCCCCCACATACTGGGCCCACACTCCCCTCCAAAATATCACCCCATGCCCCTGACCCTGGCCAACCCCATGCCCAAACCCTTGCCCCGCCACAGTCGCCCTATGCCACATAGCAATGCGTGCCTGGTGAGCCACATGCTGGGCCTGTATCTCTGCTAGAGCGCGCTGAGCATGCCGTAGATCGTAGTAATGCACAACCACCAAACCCTCCCGCACCCTCTCCATATGCAGCGCCCTCAGCGGCCCATAAACCTCCAATTCCCGCCTCAAAGCTCCCTCACTTGCATCTACAGGCACCGAGCTAAGCAGCAGGGTGCGTGTCGCTCCTTCCCTTGCCAAATGACCGCCGCCACCGCCGGCCTGCCCGTAACCATAGACAGGCATGACAGAACTGTAGGGATAGGAGTAGTAAATCGGCTGCTGCACCATTGCCATGACCCCTGGAGCTTGGGAATGGGCCAGGACTTGGGCCTGGTGGGCTTGAGCTTGGTGCGCATGCTGGGAATGATGAGCTTGACCTTGATGGGATTCTCGGACTTGTATGGATTGGGGCTGGAGATTTGGGGGCAAGGTAGGTCGGAACTCTTGAGCGCCGGGGTCTAGATGGGAATTGAGAGATTGCCGGAAAACCATGGATCCCCTGCAAAATGCCTTGTCGAAATCGGGTTTTTGTTACAGACAAAACGAGAGAGAAACTCGAGTGAGAGAGGGGGGCCGAACCAAGTTGGATTTTGATTTTTGTAGGGGTTGGGTCTCTGGTTATGAGAGAGAGAGAGATTTTTGAAGAGGTTTGGTCTTGAGTTTTGAAGGGTTGGGCCTGAGAGAGAGAGAGAGAAGAACGGACTTTGGATTTGGATTTGGATTTGGATTTGATTTTTTAGGGGTTGGGGGCTTAGTTTTGGTGTGTTAGAGAGAGAGAGAGGGAGAGGGGGTTTCGTATGTGGTCCTGGTAACCAAAAACCGGTTTTTGGAGAAGGGTGGTTTTCCGGTGACGGTGGAGTGGAAAGGGGTTGAGGCAATCAAATCAGAGACTTTAATGGCAGATGCCTCTGTACTGATGGTTTGCCGGCGCCTATTCAAGTCATACCCCAGAATAACGGTCGCTTCGGCGTTAATAGTGAGTCCACTACTCTCTCTTTCCTGCTTCCTTTCTCTCTAGAAACTAGAGAGAGCTCTTTCTCTCTCTCATATTTCACTCGCTAAAAAGAGTTGAGTAAAAAGATAAGGTATACAGCTGCCTCCAAAGAAATGGAAATGACTGAAAAAGGTTCCAAATGACTGGAATGCCCATATCCCTTTATCAAATGACAATCCTTTTTAAGTGAATTTGAAATGTACTAATTACTATTTCTTTTTCTCTTATGGAAAAAGAACCTTTGTAAGAGAATTAGAAATTTATGCTCATGCTTCTTTTCTTTTCTTTTTTTTTTTTAATTCATTTCTAAATTTTAAACTCTTGTAATTTAGTGAGAGAGAGAGAAAAATTAGTCCTGAAAATCTATTTTGTAGCTATCCTTCTAAGATCTTATTATATATTTGCAATCTCTTACACAAGAGATAGAGGTGTATATTTAAGATATGTAAAACATGGGTGTGGTTTTTATAAGGTTGAAGATCTAAACAATCAAAGGAATGCACACTTTTAAATAGTCTAGAAAGATGATATTTTAGTACAAAAAATCTTTAAGATGTCTTAGAAATTTATTTTTATTTTTAATTATAAAATTTTAAGTTTGAAAAGAAGTGTAGATCAAGCAGAGCAGAGAACTCATGAAATACTTGAAAATTAACTATCCAAATAATGAATTACAAGATGCGCTATTTTCAAACTTGAAATCTATTTTTTCTTTACGTTCATATATCTCAAGGTCGAGATGATCGGATTTGAAAGTTTTTTGGCATTAAAGCAACTTATTCTACTGAATTTTTTAGGTTTGCCTTAGTATGATTGTTTAGAGCATCAACCTTTTATATATATATATATATATATATATTAAAAGAGTTTTGTTAGGCTACACTACTTGGTGGTGTATGTCCTTGAACTCCTCAATATTTTTGAACACATAGATACCCTTGAATCGTAATACGGATTTTTTAAGTATGGACATTTTTTGTCATTTAGAAGAGTAGAATTGATATTTATATTAAAAAAAATAGTGACATTCTATCAAGGGAAAAGTTTATATAGAGCCTAAGCTCTAAACAATCAAATTAGAGCCTACCTCAAAATTTTCATTAGAATAGGTTGTTTTGATGCTCAAATATCATCAAATTGGGCATCTCAACATCAAGATGCATGGACATGAGGAGAAAATCGATTTCAAGTTTCGAAAATAATGCAACTTGTAACGCACATTTTGACTGTCAATTTTCAAGATTTTAATATTTTCATAAATATGCTTGATCTACACTATTTTTTAAGCTTTAAGTATTATAACTAAAAATAAAAGTATATTTGAAGGCTATTACAAAAAATTTCAATATTACAACCATATTTCTCGATACTATTTGATGGTGGGCTCTAATTTGATTGTTTAGAGCCCCGGCTCTATACAAACCGCACCCTTCTATCAATAGTTAAAACAATTAATGTATCTTGAGGGTGTTGTCACACACACCATGTAGATAATGTCACGACCAACTATTGTTAATAAATATTTTTGTTTTCATTAGAAAGTTTTATTTTATATTTGACTAATTACTTAAGATACACCCAGACAAAAAGTTATTATACTATAAAATAGGGAAAAATTTTCTATGTTCCCCCTACAACATAGAAGTTCTATCCTCCCCTTTATCCAACCATCTATTTTTTTCATAGAGGGCTAAGATTTTTCCAATCACAATGTCACATCTCTACATTGTTTTATTTTTATTTTTTTTCTATAAACTATTTTGATACCAAATTTTGAACATCCAATCCTCTATTAAACTTGCACTAACGAAAAATATAAAAAAATATTGTCGATAAATAAAATGACCAAAATACTCCTGAAGATTCAAGAGGCATTATGGTCATTAATTTTTATCAAAATATTATTGTTAATTTTTTTTATAGGTGCCCCCAATGAAAAGATGGCACGTACCAAATTTCATATTTAAAAAAATTGTATTTAAAAAATTAAAAATAAAATACTTTGAGATGTCGGATCTAAGATCAAACAATGAGTGGCTCTCTTGATAAAAAAATAGACGGCTAGACAGTTGGGAAAAAATAGAACTTCTATGCTCCATGTTGTAAACGGAACACAAAAAGCTTTCCGTTAATAAGAGTATACACCACCAAATCGTGGAGCTTAACAAAACCATTTTTTTAAATGGGCAATTATCTTTTAAAATACTCAATAGATAATCCATTTTGTTTGAACTTGTTGTAATTGAGTTGAGGGCATTTGGTCATTTTTAGAGTTATATTTGCCCGACGACTTTTCTTTTTCTCTCACAAAAGGTACGGACAGTCGGGATATGTAGAGCGAGAGAGACGAGGGGAGAGAGAGAGAGAGAGAGAGTGAGAGAAAATAATGGGCGTGCGTAGAGCAAGTATTCCATTAACACGTGGGAAACGTAGCTTTCAGGTGCCTCTGCTTCCGAATTTCCCGGCCCCTGCATAAGCGAGCGTGGGTGGCCGCCTTTTTAAATCACGGGGCCCTTTATCCCACTTTGCCCATAACATCCACACGTGTGGTCCTCTCTCTCTCTCTACCGACAGGAGAATACCCAGACTCCTAATTTAATCTCTCTCTTCGTTACTTGCAACCTTTGTGTCCCCCACTCTCTCTCTCTCTCTTGTTTTGTTCACTCCCCATTTTGCCTAAGAATTTTTTATAAAAACCCACTTTCTTGGGCCACAACATAGAACCGAACTCTCAATATCCTCAATGCTACTAACTTTTTGGGACATGGGGCCACATTTTCTCTCTCTAAAGGGCCACTTTTCTCTCTCTAAAGAGAGCACACTTTTTTCCACATAAACCAACAGTATCCTGTGTGTTTCTCTCTTTTAGGGACATGGGGCCACATTTTCTCTCTCTAAGACCCCGTGGACATCCTTTATAAACACCAGTAAAAGAATGCGGGAAGCATAGAGAGGTTTTGTCATTTGTTCCCACCTTGAAAGTGATAAAACAATTGAGAGGAGAGGCCACAAAGGCCTCGTGCAAGGCATGTTTTCATCTATCAAACCTTGCTATATATATATATATTATATCTATAGCTTTTGAGTAAACTATAGTTATCAATGGGTGGCTCCTATCGTTGCTCTTCTTCATGAATAGGCATTGTTGACGCACCATAATTCTCACCATTTATTCAGTCATAACTATTGAGCGACGTTGTCCTATTTCTTTCGGAAAGCGTCTGTGTATTTTTGTCTGAATTTTAAATAAATTCCATTGGGGAAATGAAAGAGTACAAGCGATAAAAGGGAAAAAGTAGAAAATAAGAAAAGCTGAAGTGTTGCGATCGATGCCGTTGTATTTTCATTCCATGGTATTGCTTTAATACGTATTCTTTATATGGCTTGTTTATATGATTTTAGAAACACAATAGTTGTTAATGTGACGTATCCTTGCTGTATTTTCACCGCCAACTACCACAACATCAAGGAGTCCATGTAATCCAAGCATTTGAAGTAATCCCCTACCAGAGCAACATCACAGCTTTAGCCAAGGTATTGGGAATGTTGATTCCATTCCCTATTAACATGACTGAAAGCTACAACCTTCTCTGGAAGCATAAATTGGATATTGTCCATGATATTGCTCCAGGCCAAGAGGTTAAATGGGGGGTTTTGCACCATTTGATCACATTGACAGTGTCTCATTCAAGAGACAATATTAGAAACTTAGGATTACAAAATGTCTAAAGGAGAAAGATATAGTATGTTCTTGAGAATTAGGCTCTAGGCAAACGTGGTAGCGTTTGGATAAGTACTATTCTATGAAAACGGCATTTATTTTTCTCCTCCCGCTATTTCGGTACAGCCAGTACTTTTGTGTCATTATAACTCAACCTGGTTCAGCCATGACCCTGACCCTATCCAAGCAAAAAATTAATGAAAACAATAAAAGGAAAACCAAAAAAAAAGGCCAGTCCTGGCCCTCGGGCCACTTGTTTTAGGCCAAACCCAACTATTTTAGGGCTGGATGGGCACCCGGCACATTGCCAACCCAAATTATAACCAGATGGGAATAGACGTGGTTGGTGCTGAAGAGATAACAGCCATGGACAACTAGAAAGATATAGTTTAGTTTATTAGTTTTGATTTTGAGGTAAATATGAGAAGTGTTGTTTTAATGGCGTTTTGAACCATAAATAGCACTAATGCATCAAATAGGTTTCTCAGCTAGAAAGGAAGTTTTAAATGAGAGAGAGAGAGAGAGAGAGAGGCCTCCATTGAGGCTGTGAGCATTTAATGTGTTATGGGATCATTTAGTTCTTCCTTTTCCTTAAAATCATGGGGAGGTTTCATGGAAAAGACACTAAGGGAAAAGTTTATATAGAACCGCAGGCGCAAAACAATCAAGATGTTTCCTTCCACTAAAGACGTTTCCTTCTTGGTGTTAAGTGGGTAGCTCTCACAAAACAAAACATGGAAAGGGCAAAAGTGAGTGTTCCTCTATTCCAACTATTGGTGTGAATACTGCCTCCCCATTTCCTACGCCTCTTACTATCATTTACTTAGCAAGGAACCCATTATCATATTTTAATGCTAAGAGAGAGAGACAGGAAACAATGACCAAAATAAATAAGAATCAAATTTTTGAGGATTCCTAAGGTCCATAAATGGTAAAAGAGTGGTGTGCGTGGTTTTTCAGTCTCAAATGCATGGAGATTGGAGAGAGGGAGTGGCATGGTACATTTACTAGAAGGGATCATGGCGTGCAATGAGATTTGATAGCGAGGTGAAGACGCAACATAATTACAACTTTACGGAGATATGATTTCCCGTTATTTTTAAGTGGTATTGTTGAGATTTCATTAACACTTACAGAATGGCCTAGGCTTTGGCGGAAGTATTGCCGACCTTTATGATGAATTCTATAAATCCCTTCTCTCCAAAGGTATAAATCCCCATTGACTTATAATTTTTAACTATCGAAAAATAATAATATTTCATAAACACTTGCACGTTCGGTAGGACTTTTTACAAATTGGCCAATTTATGTGATAG